GCTAGGAGTTGAATAGTGGAGTCAGGTGTGTAGTGCTAGGAGTTGAATAGTGGAGTCAGGTGTGTAGTGCTAGGAGTTGAATAGTAGAGTCAGGTGTGTAGTGCTAGGAGTTGAATAGTGGAGTCAGGTGTGTAGTGCTAGGAGTTGAATAGTGGAGTCAGGTGTGTAGTGCTAAAAACTAAAATGTGCACCATTTCATTCAAAACACGGTTCTACCTGGCAGTTCATTGATTGATTAATGTCACTGATTCACTGGATACTGAACTCAGCTGCTGTCCCAGGTCTGACTCAGTCCCTGAGTAGAGGGAGAGAGCTGTCCCAGGTCTGACTCAGTCCCTGAGTAGAGGGAGAGAGCTGTCCCAGGTCTGACTCAGTCCCTGAGTAGAGGGAGAGCTGTCCCAGGTCTGACTCAGTCCCAGAGTAGAGGGAGAGAGCTGTCCCAGGTCTGACTCAGTCCCCGAGTAGAGGGAGAGAGCTGTCCCAGGTCTGACTCAGTCCCTGAGTAAAGGGAGAGAGCTGTCCCAGGTCTGACTCAGTCCCTGAGTAGAGGGAGAGCTGTCCTAGGTCTGACTCAGTCCCAGAGTAGAGGGAGAGAGCTGTCCCAGGTCTGACTCAGTCCCTGAGTAGAGGGAGAGAGCTGTCCCAGGTCTGACTCAGTCCCTGAGTAGAGGGAGAGAGCTGTCCCAGGTCTGACTCAGTCCCCGAGTAGAGGGAGAGCTGTCCCAGGTCTGACTCAGTCCCTGAGTAGAGGGAGAGAGCTGTCCCAGGTCTGACTCAGTCCCCGAGTAGAGGGAGAGCTGTCCCAGGTCTGACTCAGTCCCCGAGTAGAGGGAGAGAGCTGTCCCAGGTCTGACTCAGTCCCTGAGTAGAGGGAGAGCTGTCCCAGGTCTGACTCAGTCCCCGAGTAGAGGGAGAGAGCTGTCCCAGGTCTGACTCAGTCTCCGAGTAGAGGGAGAGAGCTGTCCCAGGTCTGACTCAGTCCCTGAGTAGAGGGAGAGAGCTGTCCCAGGTCTGACTCAGTCCCTGAGTAGAGGGAGAGAGCTGTCCCAGAGAGCTGTCCCAGGTCTGACTCAGTCCCTGAGTAGAGGGAGAGAGCTGTCCCAGGTCTGACTCAGTCCCTGAGTAGAGGGAGAGCTGTCCCAGGTCTGACTCAGTCCCTGAGTAGAGGGAGAGCTGTCCCAGGTCTGACTCAGTCCCTGAGTAGAGGGAGAGAGCTGTCCTAGGTCTGACTCAGTCCCCGAGTAGAGGGAGAGCTGTCCTAGGTCTGACTCAGTCCCCGAGTAGAGGGAGAGCTGTCCCAGGTCTGACTCAGTCCCTGAGTAGAGGGAGAGCTGTCCTAGGTCTGACTCAGTCCCCGAGTAGAGGGAGAGCTGTCCCAGGTCTGACTCAGTCCCTGAGTAGAGGGAGAGAGCTGTCCCAGGTCTGACTCAGTCCCTGAGTAGAGGGAGATAACCCAGCTGTTTTTCAGACCAGGATATAATAACCTGCATTAACACAGAGCACCACTTAGCCCTCAACAATGGCCATCTCTGTCTACACACACACGCACACACACACACACACAGACACGCACACGCACACACGCACACACACACACACACACACAGGAGTGTGTTGACAATGGAATAGACGGAACTACAGGCTGGAATTTTCTCATAAAGACACCCGATCTCTACCCGTGTGTGTGTTTGTGTTGTGTTTGTGTGTGTGTGTGTGTGTGTGTGTGTGTGTGTGTGTGTGTGTGTGTGTGTGTGTGTGTGTTGGACCGCCCCTACAGACAGTAGCCTAGAGGAAGCTCAGCATCTGTCTGGACATGCTCTTAAAACACAATACACCCCATTGATGTTTTCAGGACACAAACACCCTGCAGACAGACAGACACACACACACACACACACACACACACACACCGCTGGCCTGCACATAGACTACACCTTGACAGTGAACCCATTGAACCCAACCCCAACCATAGCATAGCCCCTCCTATTCCCCCTCAGGAGACTGAAAAGATTTGGCATGGATCCGTGTAGTGTGTACGGGCCAAGCTCCCTGCCATTAGGCGGTGTCCACATTATTTGCATTGACCTCCCCCCCCCCCCCCCATGTACAAATTACCTGGACTAACCTGTACCCTTAAACATTGACTGGGTACAGGTACCCCCTGTATATAGCCTCGTTATTGTTATTTTATTGTGTTACTTATTTTTACTTTCTTTTCTTTTCTTTTTATTCTCTTAACTCTATTTTCTTAAAACTGCATTGTTGGTTAAGGGCTTCTAAGTAAGCATTTCATGGTATTCAGCAAATGTGACAATTTGATTTTGATTTATTGGCCTCATACTAGATTACACTCAATGGACTGGAATCAAGTGTATAGTCTGGAATCAAGTGAATAGTCTGGAATCAAGTGAATAGCCTGGAATCAAGTGAATAGTCTGGAATCAAGTGAATAGTCTGGAATCAAGTGAATAGTCTGGAATCAAGTGAATAAACAAATTACATATCTGAGATGCAATAAAATAACAGTTGCATTCCAAATGGCACCCAATCCCCTTTATAGGGCCCTGGTCAAAAGTAATGCACTGTATGTAACGGGGGTCAGTGTGGCGCTAACAGCTTAGCGTCCTCCACTGTAACGGGGGTCAGTGTGGCGCTAACAGCTTAGCGTCCTCCACTGTAACGGGGGTCAGTGTGGCGCTAACAGCTTAGCGTCCTCCACTGTAACGGGGGTCAGTGTGGCGCTAACAGCTTAGCGTCCTCCACTGTAACGGGGGTCAGTGTGGCGCTAACAGCTTAGCGTCCTCCACTGTAACGGGGGTCAGTGTGGCGCTAACAGCTTAGCGTCCTCCACTGTAACGGGGGTCAGTGTGGCGCTAACAGCTTAGCGTCCTCCTCTGTCTGACTGCCCCATACTGGGCTGGAACCAGCGATCTTCTGCTTCGCAAAACACACATTACAGTCCTTCTTGACAACGTTCCAATGGGTTGAGCCACCGAAAAGCACCGATTGGATGGCTCCATACGCAACATTTCAAGCTAGCTGTGGAGTGAGCTTACAACACGTTTTTAACTCTGTTATAAGGTATATAGGGAATAGTGTGTCATTTGGGATTCAACCTTAAAGGAGAAGTTTTCTTTTTTTACAACCAATTCTCTATGTTTGATGTAAATTGAATTATATAGAAGGGTCCAGACAGTCTTTTTTTGTGATTTCACTTGTTTTTGAGAAACTTACCCCAAACAGCAAATCAATTGAACAAAAACACCTAAATCTGTCCTTTTAGAAACTGCAAAGTTCTCAGTGTAGTGATGCAGGTCTTTAGATGTTGTACACATGAAATTGTGTCATTCTGAACTTTATCCACAATGTCATATTCCCTTTTGTGTGACTCTAACAGTATCCCCTATCCAGCTGTTCCATTCTCTGTGTAGCCTGCTGCTACAGGTAACTGGCAAAATAAAGGAAACACCAACATAAAGTGTCTTAATAGCACATTGGGCCACCACGAGCCACCAAAACAGCTTCAATGCACCTCAGCATAGATTCTACAAGTGTCTGGAACTTCCCGTGTGGAAGCACCTGCTTTCAATATACTTTGTATTCCTAATTTACTCAAGTGTTTCCTTTATTTTGGCAGTTACTAGTAGAACAGACAGAGAGGTATTGCTCGACTCGCAACAAAATGGAATATAACGTTGTGGATAAAGTTCATAAATACACAATTTCATGTATCACTATACTGAGAGCTTTGCAGGTAGCTTAGTGGTTAAGAGCATTGTGCCAGTAACCGAAAGGTCGCTGGTTCTAATCCCCGAGCCGACTAGGTGAAAAATCTGTCAATGTGCAAGGCACTTAACCCTAATTGCTCCTGTAAATCGCTCTGGATAAGAGCGTCTGATAAATGACTAAAATGTAAATGTTTTTGGAGCCTTTTTTCATCTTTTTTGTTCAAGTGATATGCTGTTTGGGGTTAAGTTTCTTAAAAACAAGTGAAATCACAAAAATGGTGTCTGGACCCTTCTATAACATTCCATTTATATCAAAAATAGAGATTAGGTTGTAAAAAACGAAAACGTATTTAATACTCCAATCCATCTATCCAGAGTAAGCAAACAACTGAGGTAGGCCTATCTGGATTAACTCTAAGCCATTTCTGACATGTTGCTTAGGAAACACTCATAAGCACACAAATACTGTGGGTTTTGAAGCTCAAAATATTTGTGACTGATTGAATTTACATCTCTCTTTACACTTTCATTCTACCGCTGCACCACATGCAGGGATGTAGAAATAAATTAGGACACTGTCTAAACAATTCAATGTACCACAGATAGTAGCGTTTAGCTTCTCCGGAAAGACAAGTACCTCCAACTGGGTCAGGAAGCTATCGTTTTACTCTTGCACAGTTTACTCTGCAATTAGCATAATAGCTAGCTGAGTTTGTGGTTTGCGAGTGGTAGTGGAAGAGTTCTAGTGAAACCCAGCTGCGGGAAAGACTATAAACAGGAGGACTAGTAGTTATCTCTAAGCCCGAAGGAAAATGGCGGCACTGAGAAGAGAACATTGCTGGTGTGTGTGTGTGTGTGTTTACACAGAGTGGCCTTCAGTCCCTAATGACAGGCAGAGTGTGTGTACGTGCCCGAAGGTAGCTGTGTTCATATCTCACACTGGTTCTGACTCAGTCCCTGAGTAGAGGGAGAGAGCTGTCCCAGACCGAAGACATTCTGCCAGAGACACAGTAAGGTGGAGGGGGCGACTGAGGTGTCAGAGACATAGATATGGTACATTTTGTTGAGTATGTTTAATGTTGATCGTACGTGTAAACCCCCCAAAATCAAAACCAACACCGCACGGAAATGTTGCCCTCTATGTTGTAACACACATGCACACCACTCACATACATACACACACACACATACATGAACACACATCATCTACTTGCCTCTGCAGGTGTGTAGTGCATCCAGGTAGAAGCGAGTGGGACATCTGTCCACACACACTCCGTGGGGTGTTGCTCTGCCTGTGTGACTGTTCTGTGGCTGCAGAGCCTCCTCGGGTTTGAGACACCTCAGACAGTCAGAGGACAGAGGACCTACACACCACCTACAAGATGGGTGGCAGACTGCGGAGAGAGAGAAAACCACTTAAGTCAGACTTTTACACGTACAGTTGAAGTCGGAAAGTTTACATACACTTAGGTTGAAGTCATTAAAACACGTTGTTCAACCACTCCACACATTTCTTGTTAACAAACTATCGTTTTGGCAAGTCGGTTAGGACATCTACTTTGTGCATGACACAAGTAATTTTGCAGATTATTTCACTGTATCACAATTCCAGTGGGTCAGAAGTTTACATACACTAAGTTGACTGTGCCTTTAAACAGCTTGGAAAATTCCAGAAAATGATGTCATGGCTTTAGAAGCTTCTGATAGGCTAGAGAGAGAGAAAACCACTTAAGTCAGACTTTACACATACATACATACACACACACTCACAACGATAGGTGGTATACTACAATAGGGGAGATGGTAGGATGGGGGTGTTAAAGTCAAACTACTTCTAAAAATACATATTTTACCGAAATGTCGTTTTCCAATCGTGTCGTTCTGAACAGAACAATTTTTTTATTTTTTTATTCCGTTCCACTGTTCCGAACTGCAAAATAAAGTTCTGAACCGGTTCGAACCCAAAAGAAGTAACGTCTTATATTGTTCCTTTATTTTCCTTTTAAAAATGTCTGAAATCAGATTTTTTTTTTTTTTACATTAGCTCAAAATTAAATTACTTCACCAATCAGTGCGGATAGAGCAGCTTGCTGTGGAGCGGGCACGCTATAGATTTGTTTATGCGCGATGGACAGACAAGGGTAGGGAGTGAGAAGCGACTGGGGAGAGAGGGTGGAGGAGGAGGCTTGGCTTGAAACGCTGGGCATCTTGTTATGACATGCATTATCTGAATTTCAGGAGTTGGCTTAACATTGTGTGTGCAGAGCGGCACAAGAATTAAAAACACATCTTTCGTTTTTTTGTAGTTAATAAATCCAATGTGAAACGTAATAACTATAGTATCTGTAACTAGCATTGAAAAAGTTAATTCATTCTTCTCTAATTAAAAATCTCTCCTTAATTTCTGAATCACGATTGTGACATCAGTAGGCTAGAGCAGCCTATGCTTCGGAAGGGGGAGGGGCAGGATTCCTAAACACACACTGGCAATACATTTCTGAGTGACATGTCTGCTAAGTTACGTAAATGTAAACATAATGTAAGTGAAAGAGTGAGGGCTTTGTTTGCATTTTTTTTGTGGGACTGAAAACAAATGCCCGGAACGTAAAATAACGTTATGAAGTGGTTCCCATGCTTTTAAATAACGGTTCTATTCTGGAACAGTATAGATCAGCCATGTCATCACGCAACAGACATCATCAGAGTGCGCAACAGAACAGTGTACTGTCAACACTCGGTTTCTTGTTTTTTATTAAATTGTTTTCATTAAATCGTTTTTAATCATAGCTAAACGTTTGTATTGCTACTGATTACGCAACGCGGTCAGCCTTTACGGCTGAGACTGCAAGATTGTGTCCCAAACTACATTTACATTACATTTTAGTCATTTAGCAGACGCTCTTATCCAGAGCGACTTACAGGAGCAATTAGGGTTAAGTGCCTTGCTCAAGGGCACATCGACAGATTTTTCACCTAGTCGGCTCGGGGATTAGAACCAGCGACCTTTCGGTTACTGGCACAACGCTCTTACCCACTAACTACCCACCCTCCAGGATACCTACAGCACCCGATGTCACAGGAAGGCCAAAAAGATCATCAAGGACATCAACCACCCGAGCCACTGCCTGATCACCCCGCTATCATCCAGAAGGCAAGGTCAGTACAGGTGCATCAAAGCTGGGACCGACAGACTGAAAAACAGTTTCTATCTCAAGGCCATCAGACTGTTAAACAGCCATCACTAGCACATTAAAGGCTGCTGCCTATAGACATAGACTAGAAATCAATGGCCACTTTAAGAAATGGAACACTAGCCACTTTAATAATGTTTACATATCTTGCATTAAACATCTCATATGTATATACTGTATTCTATACTATTCTACTGTATCTTAGTCCATGCCTCTCTGACATCGCCCGTCCATATATGTATATACAGTTGAAGTCGGAAGTTTAAATACACCTTAGCCAAATACATTTCAACTCAGTTTTTCACAATTCCTGACATTTAATCCTAGTAAAAATTCCCTGTCTTAGGTCAGTTAGGATCACCACTTTATTTTAAGATTGTGAAATGTCAGAATAATAGTAGAGAGAATGATTTATTTCAGCTTTTATTTCTTTCATCACATTCCCAGTGGGTCAGAAGTTTACATACACTCAATTAGTATTTGGTAGCATTGCCTTTAAATTGTTTAACTTGGGTCAACCATTTCGGGTAGCCTTCCATAAGCTTCCCACAATAAATTGGGTGAATTTTGGCCCATTCCTCCTGACAGAGCTGGTGTAACTGAGTCAGGTTTGTAGGCCTCCTTGCTCGCACACGCTTTTTCAGTTCTGCCCACACATTTTCTATAGGATTGAGGTCAGGGCTTTGTGATGGCCACTCCAATACCTTGACTTTTTTGTCCTTAAGCCATTTTGCCACAACTTTGGAAGTATGCTTGGGGTCATTGTTCATTTGGAAGACCCATTTGCGACCAAGCTTTAACTTCCTGACTGATGTCTTGAGATGTTGCTTCAATATATCCACATCATTTTCCTTCCTCATGATGCCATCTATTTTGTGAAGTGCACCAGTCCCTCCTGCAGCAAAGCACTCCCACAGCATGATGCTGCCACCCCCGTGCTTCATGGTTGGGATGGTGTTCTTTGGCTTGCAAGCCTTCCCCTTTTTCCTCCAAACATAACGATGGTCATTATGGCCAAACAGTTCTATTTTAGTTTCATCAGACCAGAGGACATTTCTCCAAAAAGTACGATCTTTGTCCCCATGTGCAGTTGTAAACCGTAGTCTGGCTTTTTTATGGCAGTTTTGCAGCAGTGGCTTCTTCCTTGCTGAGCGGCCTTTCAGGTTTTGTCGACATAGGACTCATTTTACTGTGGATATAGATACTTTTGTACCTGTGTCCTCCAGCATCTTCACAAGGTCCTTTGCTGTTGTTCTGGGATTGATTTGCACTTTTCGCACAAAAGTACGTTCATCTCTAGGAGACAGAACGCGTCTCCTTCCTGAGTGGTATGATGGCTGCGTGGTCCCATGGTGTTTATACTTGCGTACTATTGTTTGTACAGATGAACGTGGTACCTTCAGGCGTTTGGAAATTGCTCCCAAGGATGAACCAGACTTGTGGAGGTCTACAATGTTTTTTCTGAGGTCTTGGCTGATTTATTTTGATTTTCCCATGATGTCAAGCAAAGAGGCACTGAGTTTGAAGGTAGGCCTTGAAATACATCCACAGGTACACCTCCAATTGACTCAAATGATGTCAATTAGCCTATCAGAAGCTTCTAAAGCCATGACATCATTTTCTGGAATTTTCCAAGCTGTTTAAAGACACAGTCAACTTAGCGTATGTAAACTTCTGACCCACTGGAATTGTGATACAGTGAATTATAAGTGAAATAATCTGTCTAAACAATTGTTGGCAAAATTACTTGTGTCATGCACAAAGTAGATGTCCTAACCGACTTGCCAAAACTATAGTTTGTAACAAGACATTTGTGGAGTGGTTGAAAAACGAGTTTTAATGACTCCACCTAAGTGTATGTAAACTTCCGACTTCAACTGTATGTATATATTCTTAATTCATTCCTTACTTAGATTTGTGTGTATTTGGTATATGTTGTGAAATTGTTAGATATTACTTGTTAGATATCACTGCACTGTCGGAGCAAGAAGCACAAGCATTTCGCTACACCCGCAATAACATCTGCTAAACACGTGTATGTGACCAATACAATTTGATTTGATTTGATTTCTGTTAAGTAGCTAAGTTAGCTGCTAGCCATAGTGAAAATAGAGCAGGCTAATGCTAGCAGTGCTAGCCCACTGGTGTTTTTATCCACAGCTGGGCACAAATGCTTCAGGTGTGAGATAATTTCCACACAATCACAAGATGAAGATAAGGTGGAAAATGGACAGGGATTTGTTTGCCCTAAATGCACCACCGTCAAGCATCTTAGGGAAGAGATCCTCCGGCTGTTAGCTGCGAGAAAAGGTAAACCTGCTTTCTAAGTACACCGACCTTGCTGTAACCGAATCTCAGTTTTAAATGCCTCCTATAGCAAAGCTGTCGATGAGTCGGGCGGCGTTGATCTGTCCCAATTCAACGGACAGATGTTAAGCTCAACTACGTGGCCCATGGGAGACTGGACACTTGCAAGGCGTAGGAAATCGGGGAGGCAGTCTGGCCACCTATTTATCCGTGAAAATCGGATCCAGCTATCAAACAGCTTTGCCTACGGTCTGTGGACCGACCAAGGTCCAATGTCACCCAGGAGCCCGTGTCCATGACATCAACTCTCTCCTGCCCACGGTTCTGAACAACTATTCCAATATTGACACCATCGTCACTCACGTACACTACCGTTCAAAAGTTTGGTGTCACTTAGAAATGTCCTTGTTTTCCAAAGAAAAGCTATTTTTTTGTCCATATTGTAGCTGGATACGGTTGATTTTTAATGGAATATCTACATAGGCGTACAGAGGCCCATTATCAGCAACCATCAGTCCTGTGTTCCAATGGCACTTTGTGTTTGCTAATCCAAGTTATCATTTTAAAAGGCTAATTGATCATTAAAAAACCCTTTTGCAATTATGTTAGCACAGCTGAAAACTGTTGTGCTGATTAAAGAAGCAATAAAACTGGCCTTCTTGAGACTAGTTGAGTATCTGGAGCATCAGCAATTGTGGGTGTGATTACAGGCTGAAAATGTCCAGAAACAAATAACTTTCTTCAAAAACTTGTCCGTTTATTCATATTCTGAGAAATGAAGGCTATTCCCATGCGAGAAATTGCCAAGAAACTGAAGATCTCGTACAACGCTGTGTACTACTCCCTTCACAGAACAGCGCAAACTGTCTCTAACCAGAATAGAAAGAGGAGTGGGAGGCCCCAGTGCACAACTGAGCAAGAGGACAAATACAGTGTCTAGTTTGAAAAACAGGCGCCTCACAGGTCCTCAACTGACAGCTTCATTAAATAGTACCCGCAAAACACCAGTCTCAACGTCAACAGTGAAGAGGCGACTCCGGGATGCTGACCTTCTAGGCAGAGTTGCAAAGAAAAAGCCATATCTCAGACTGGCCAATAAAAAGAAAAGATTAAGATGGGCAGTCTGAGATATGGCTTTTTCTTTGCAACTCTGCCTAGAAGGTCAGCATCCCGGAGTCGCCTCTTCACTGTTGACGTTGAGACTGGTGTTTTGCGGGTACTATTTAATGAAGCTACCAGTTGAGGACCTGCACTGGCTGCCAGTGAGTTTTAGAATACATTTAAATATTATTATATTGGTTTTTAAATCAATCCACGATTGTGCACCCCAATACATGACAGACATGCTTTTAAGTTATGTACCCAGTAGGTCCCTCAGGTCCTCTGGCACTGGCCTTTTAACTATCCCAAAGCCTAGGACCAAGAAGCATGGGGAGGCAGCCTTTAGTTATTATGCCCCCAGCCTCTGGAATAGCCTGCCAGAGAACCTGAGGGGGGCCAAAACTGTGGACAGCTTTGCTTTTCCTTAGGGTGCTTTTTTATTGTTATTCTTTAGATTTTTATCCTCTTATGTTTGTTGTGTAGTAAATTATTATTTCAGTTTTTTCCTGTGAAGTATTCCATGTATGAAATGTGCTGTGTAAATAAAGCTTGATTTGATTCGTTCCTGGTTCTGATTCTGTCCCTGTACAAATGTGGTTCTTTTCCGGTATTCGGTTCTGTTCCCTGAACCGGTTCCAAACCCGGAGTGCCTTCAGAAAGTATTCACACCCGTTGACCTTTTCCACATTTTGTTGTGTTACAGCCTGAATTAAAAATGGATTAAACTGAGATTTTGGGTCACTTCCTTACACACGATACCCCATAATGTCAAAGTAGGAAACTGAAATGTCTTAAGTCAATAAGTATTCAACCCCTTTGTTATTGCAAACCTAAATAAGTTCAGTAGTAAAAATGTACTTAACAAGTCACATAATAAGTTATATGGTCTCACTCTGTGTGCAATAATAGTGTTTATCATTATTTGTGAATGACTACCTCATCTCTGTACCCCAAACATACAATTATCTGTAAGGTCCCTCAGTCGAGCAGTGAATTTCAAACACAGATTCAACCACAAAGACCAGGGAGGTTTTCCAATGCCTCACAAAGAAGGGCACCTGTTGGTAGATGGGTAAAATAAAAAGCAGACACTGAATATTCCTTTGAACACGGTGAAGTCATTTTTGGTTTGTTTTTTTGGTGACCAAAACATGATGATGTTATATTTTTACCTGATATGGGAATGAATACACATGCAGCATTATCAAACTGGGAAAATGCTTTAGGATACACCGGCAAGTATACAAATATTTGCCAGGCATGTTATTTTTTTTTATAAATCTGATTATTGCACATGTGGGAAGCTAAAAAGGCTATCTAGCTTGCTATGTTTTTAGCCATGCTGCCAGCTAGCTATTACTAGCAAGGGAAGTTGACTCTTCTTCTTTGCTTTAACAAAATGAAAATACTAAAATAATCGCCCCCTTGTGAATGGGAGTGGGACCGGTGAGGACATCATGTTACCAAAAGGTGTCCGCTACTCCAAAAATCCCACTCCACCCACGTGCAGGCACGAAGCTTATAGTAACCTTAAGCCCAACTCAAGCCCTAAACCCCTAAACCCTAAACCCCTAAACCCTAAACCCCTAAACCCAAACCCCTAAACCCCTAAACCCCTAAACCCCCTAAACCCCCTAAACCCCTAAACCCTAAACCCATAAACCCAAACTCCCTAAACCTTAAACCCCTAAACCCTAAACCCCTAAACCCCTAAACCCTAAACCCCTAAACCCCTAAACCCTAAACCCCTAAACCCCTAAACCCTAAACCCATAAACCCAAACTCCCTAAACCTTAAACCCCTAAACCCCTAAACCCTAAACCCTAAACCCCTAAACCCAAACCCCCTAAACCCTAATCCGCTAAACCCCAAACCCCTAAACCCTAAACCCCTAAACCCCAAACCCCTAAACCCCTAAACCCTAAACCCATAAACCCAAACTCCCTAAACCTTAAACCCCTAAACCCCTAAACCCCTAAACCCCTAAACCCAAACCCCCTAAACCCTAAACCCAAACCCCCTAAACCCTAAACCCCTAAACCCCTAAACCCAAACCCCCTAAACCCTAAACCCCTAAACCCCAAACCCTAAACCCCTAAACCCTAAACCGCTAAACCCCAAACCCCTAAACCCTAAACCCCTAAACCCCAAACCCTAAACCCCTAAACCCTAAACCGCTAAACCCCAAACCCCCTAAACCCTAAACCCCTAAACCCTAAACCCCAAACTCCTAAACCCCAGAGGAAGGCTCTTACTGTGGCAGGTCTGATCCTGGTGGTACAGCCCCTCTCCGCAGGTCTCCAGACACTGGCCCTGGTGTAAGGACAGTCCCTGGGAACAGAGGGTACACTGGGACACAGAGGGGCCGGAGCAGGACCAGCAGGAGCTGTGACAGGCTGAGAGTGAATAGGTCAGAGGTCAATCACACTGTTGGAGCCAATCAGAACTTGGCTAGTTTCAACATTACGAAAACGCTGGGTTCAAGCTAGGTTCAAGTTTCAAGTTTTTATTGTCACATTAAATCTACAGTGAAATGCCTTTCTTGCTATTCAGCAAGTGCAGGTTCTTTGTTCCTACCCAGCATGAACAAAAAACCTGATTCACTAAAACAATTAATGCATTGATGAGTTGATTAGTTGAAGCAGGTATGTTAGAGCTGGGCTGGGACATAAGCCTGCCATGAAGACACTATAAACCATGTGCAGGTTTTGATCTGGCTCAGCACTAATACTGAAACAGCATGAGTATGAGAGGTATTAATGTAAACTCTGCAAGGCGGTGCTTACCTCTGCAGCGGCCATGGACATCAAGGTAATGCTGTTCTGGACAGTAGGAAATACATTTCCCATGATGCATAGCAGAGCCCTGGGGGCAGCTCATGCACTTGGGGTTGTCAGGGTAACAGGTAGCGCAGGACGAATCACACGCTGTGGGGATGACATACACATATGCAAAAACATTAGATTTAACCATTTTAAATGTATCTACAATTTACTGTTTTAATAACACAGTTTAAAATATACTGCTCAACAGCATATGTGTGAGATATATTCTTTGTCACATGTAAGGGTGCTTTCACACCGAATTGGTTTGGAGCTGTTTTTCCCAACTCTGATGCGTTTACCCCCTTAGTTGGGTTCATTTGGACTGGTGTGAACACTCTATCCATACTAAACAACGTGGTACCCCCCGTGGTGCAGTTCGCTGCAGGTGAGCACGCAGTCCAGACCAAACACATGATAAGAACAAGAGTGGTGCAGTATGATTGGTTGTTTGACTGATCACATGCAGCACACAGCATCATAACCTGATATGGCTGAAACATTCCGTGAGTAGGAGCGCATTTAAATCAAATCAAATAAAATCAAATGTTATTTGTCACATACACGTGTTTAGCAGATGTTATTGAGGGTGTAGCGAAATGCTTGTGCTTCTAGCTCCGACAGTGCAGTAATATCTAACAATTTCACAACATATACCCAATACACACAAATCTAAGTAAGGAATGGAATTAAGAATATATACATATATGGACGAGCAATGTTAGAGCGGCTTGGACTAAGACACAGTAGAATATTATAGAATACAGTATATACATATGAGATGAGTAATGCAAGATATGTAAAGATGATTAAAGTGGCCAGTGATTTCAAAAGGCAGCAGCAGCCTCTAATGTGCTAGTGATTATTTAACAGTCTGATGGCCTTGAGATTAGAAGCTGTTTTTCAGTCTCTCGGTCCCAGCTTTGATGCACCTGTACTGACCTCGCCTTCTGGATGATAACAGGGTGAACAGGCAGTGGCTCGGGTGGTTGATGTCCTTGATGATATTTTTGGCCTTCCTGTGACATCGGGTGCTGTAGGTATCCTGGAGGGCGGGTAGTTTGCCCCCGGTAATGCGTTCGGCAGACCGCACCACCCTCTGGAGAGCCCTGCGGTTGCGGGCGGTGCAGTTGCCGTACCAGGCAGTGATACAGCCCGACAGGATGCTCTCAATTGTGCAACTGTAAAAGTTTGTGAGGGTTTTAGGTGCCAAGCCAAATTTCTTCAGCCTCCTGAGGTTGAAGAGGCTCTGTTGAGCCTTCTTCACCACACTGTCTGCGTGGGTGGACCATTTCAGTTTGTCAGTGATGTGTACGCCAAGGAACTTGAAGCTTTCCACCTTCTCCACTGCGGTCCCGTCAATGTGGATAGGGGGGTGCACCCTATGCTGTTTCCTGAAGTCCACGATCATCTCCTTTGTTTTGTTGATGTTGAGTGAGATTTTATTTTCCTGGTACCACACTCCCAGAGCCCTCACCTCCTCCCTGTAGGCTGTCTCGTCATTGTTGGTAATCAAGCCTACTACTGTGGTGTCGTCTGCAAACTTAATGATTGAGTTGGAGGCGTGCTTGGCCACGCAGTCATGGGTGAACAGGGAGTACAGGAGGGGGCTGAGCACACACCCTTGAGGGGCCCCAGTGTTGAGGATCAGCAAAATGTTGTTTCCTACCTTTACCACCTGGGGGCGGCCCGTCATGAAGTCCATGACCCAGTTGCACAGGGTGGGGTTCAGACCCAGGGCCTCGAGCTTAATGATGAGCTTGGAGGGTACTTTGGTGTTGAATGCTGAGCTATAGTCAATGAACAGCATTCTTACATAGGTATTCCTCTTGTCCAGATGGGATAGGGCAGTGTGCAGTGTGATGGCGATTGCATTGTCTGTGGATCTATTTGGGCGGTAAGCAAATTGAAGTGGGTCTAGGGTGACAGGTAAGGTAGAGGTGATATGATCCTTGACTAGTCTCTCAAAGCACTTCATGATGACAGAGGAGAGTGCTACGGGGCAATAGTCATTTAGTTCAGTTACCTTTGCTTTCTTGGGTACAGGAAAAATGGTGGCCATCTTGAAGCATGTGGGGACAGCAGACTGGGTTAGGGAGAGATTGAATATGTCCGTAAACACACCAGCCAGCTGATCTGCGCATGCTCTGAGGACGCGGCTAGGGATGCCGTCTGGGCCGGCAGCCTTGCGGGGGTTAACATGCTTAAATGTCTTACTCACGTCGGCCACGGAGGAGAGCCCACAGTCCTCAAATCAAATCAAATCTTATTGGTCACATGCGCCGAATACAACAGGTGCAGACATTACAGTGAAATGCTTACTTAGAGCCCTTAACCAACAGTGCATTTATTTTTAACAAAAAAAGTAAAAATAAAACAACAAAAAAAGTGTTGAGAAAAAAAGAGCAGAAGTAAAATAAAATAACAGTAGGGAGGCTATATATACAGGGGGGTACCGGTGCAGAGTGAATGTGCGGGGGCACCGGCTAGTTGAGATAGTTGAAGTAATATGTACATGTGGGTAGAGATAAAGTGACTATGCATAAATAATTAACAGAGTAGCAGCAGCGTAAAAAGGATGGGGTGGGGGGGCAGTGCAAATAGTCCGGGTAGCCATGATTAGCTGTTCAGGAGTCTTATGGCTTGGGGGTAGAAGCTGTTGAGAAGTCTTTTGGACCTAGACTTGGCACTCCGGTACCGCTTGCCGTGCGGTAGCAGAGAGAACAGTCTATGACTAGGGTGGCTGGAGTCTTTGACAATTTTGAGGGCCTTCCTCTGATACCGCCTGGTATAGAGGTCCTGGATGGCAGGAAGCTTGGCCCCAGTGATGTACTAGGCCGTACGCACTACCCTCTGTAGTGCCTTGCGGTCGGAGGCCAAGCAGTTGCCATACCAGGCGGTGATGCAACCAGTCAGGATGCTCTCGATGGTGCAGCTGTAGAATTTTTTGAGGATCTGAGGACCCATGCCAAATCTTTTCAGTCTCCTGAGGGGGAATAGGCTTTGTCGTGCCCTCTTCACGACTGTCTTGGTGTGTTTGGACCATGATAGTTCGTTGGTGATGTGGACACCAAGGAACTTGAAGCTCTCAACCTGTTCCACTACAGCCCCGTCGATGAGAATGGGGGCGTGCTCAGTCCTCTTTTTTTTCCTGTAGTCCACAATCATCTCCTTTGTCTTGGTCACGTTGAGGGAGAGGTTGTTGTCCTGGCACCACACGGCCAGGTCTCTGACCTCCTCCCTATAGGCTGTCTCATAGTTGTCGGTGATCAGGCCTACCACTGTTGTGTCGTCGGCAAACTTAATGATGGTGTTGGAGTCGTGCCTGGCCATGCAGTCATGGGTGAACAGAGAGTACAGGAGGGGACTGAGCACGCACCCCTGAGGGGCCCCCATGTTGAGGATCAGTGTGGCAGATGTGTTGTTACCTACCCTTACCACCTGGGGGCGGCCCGTCAGGAAGTCCAGGATTCAGTTGCAGAGGGAGGTGTTTAGTCCCAGGATCCTTAGCTTAGTGATGAGCTTAGAGGGCACTATGGTGTTGAATGCTGAGCTGTAGTCAATGAATAGCATTCTCACGTAGGTGTTCCTCTTGTCCCGGTGGGAAAGGGCAGTGTGGAGTGCAATAGAGATTGCATCATCTGTGGATCTGTTGGGGCGGTATGCAAATTGGAGTGGGTCTAGGGTTTCTGGGATAATGCTGTTGATGTGAGCCATGATCAGCCTTTCAAAGCACTTCATGGCTACAGATGTCAGTGCTACGGGTCGGTAGTCATTTAGGCAGGTTATCTTAGAGTCCTTGGGCACGGGGACTATGGTGGTCTGCTTGAAACATGTTGGTATTACAGACTCAGTCAGGGACATGTTGAAAATGTCAGTGAAGACACTTGCCAGTTGGTCAGCACATGCTCGGAGTACACGTCCTGGTAATCCGTCTGGCCCTGCGGCCTTGTGAATGTTGACCTGCTTAAAAGTCTTACTCACATCGGCTACGGAGAGCGTGATCACATAGTCATCCAGAACAGCTGGTGCTCTCATGCATACTTCAGTGTTGCTTGCCTCGAAGCGAGCATAGAAGCGGTTTAGCTCGTCTGGTAGGCTTGTGTCACTGGGCAGCTCGCGGCTGTGCTTCCCTTTGTAGTCTGTAATAGTTTTCAAGCCCTGCCACATCCGACGAGCGTCAGAGCCAGTGTAGTACGATTCAATCTTAGTCCTGTATTGACTCTTTGCCTGTTTGATGGTTCGTCGGAGGGCATAGCGGGATTTCTTATAAGCGTCCGGGTTAGAGTCCCGTTCCTTGAAAGCGGCAGCTCTACCCTTTAGCTTAGTGCGTATGTTTCCTGTAATCCATGGCTTCTGGTTGGGGTATGTACGTACGGTCACTGTGGGGCGACATCATCGATGCACTTATTGATGAAGCCAGTGACTGATGTGGTGTACTCCTCAATGCTGTCTGAAGAATCCCGGAACATGTTCCAGTCTGTGCTAGCAAAACAGTCCTGTAGCTTAGCATCTGCGTCATCTGACCACTTTTTTATTAACCGAGTCGGTGGTGCTTCCTGCTTTAGTTTTTGCTTATAAGCAGAAATCAGGAGGATAGAGTTATGGTCAGATTTGCCAAATGGAGGGCGAGGGAGAGCTTTGTATGCGTCTCTGTGTGTGGAGTAAAGGTGGTCTAGAGTTTTTTTTCCTCTGGTTGCACATTTAACATGCTGGTAGAAATTAGGTAGAACGGATTTAAGTTTCCCTGCATTAAAGTCCCCGGCCACTAGGAGCGCTGCATCTGGATGAGTGTTTTCCTGTTGATTTATGGCCTTGTACAACTCATTCAGTGCAATCTTAATGCCAGCATTGGTTTGTGGTGGTAAATAGACAGCTATGAAAAATATAGATGAAAACTCTCTTGGTAAATAGTGTGGTCTACAGCTTATCATAAGATACTCTACCTCAGGCGAGCAAAACCTCGAGACTTCCTTAGTATTGGATTTTGTGCACCAGCTGTTGTTTACAAATATACACAGACCGCCACCCCTTGTCTTACCGGAGTCAGCCGTTCTATCCTGCCGATGTAGCGTATAGCCCGCTAGCTGTATGTTATCCATGTCGTCGTTCAGCCAGGACTCGGTGAAACATAGGATATTACAGTTTTTAATGTCCCGTTGGTAGGATAACCGTAATCTTAGGTCATCCAATTTGTTATCCAATGATTGAAGATTGGCTAATAGGATTGATGGAAGAGGCAGTTTCGCTCGCCGTCGGATCCTTACAAGGCACCCCGATCTACGTCCACGATATCTCCGTCTCTTCCTCACGCGAATGACGGGGATTTGGGCCTTGTCGGGTGTCTGTATGATATCCTTCGCGGCCGCCTCGTTGAAGAAAAAATCTTTGTCCAATACGAGGTGATAATCGCTGTCCTGATATCCAGAAGCTCTTTTTGGTTATAAGAGACGATGGCAGAAACATTATGTACAAAATAAATTACAAATAACGTGGAAAAACACACAAAATAGTACAAATGGTTAGAGGGCTGTAAAACGGCAGCCATCTTCTCCGGCGCTGTTCTATATGGGCCGCGTCGGTGGCACTGTGTTGTCCTCAAAGTGGGCGAAGAAGGTGTTTAGCTTGTCCGGAAGCAAGACGTCGGTGTCGGCGACGTGGCTGGTTTTCCTTTTGTAGTCCGTGATTGTCTGTAGACCCTGCCACATACGTCTCGTGTCTGAGCCGTTGAATTGCGACTCCACTTTGTCTCTATACTGATGTTTTGCCTGTTCAATTGCCTTGTGGAGTGAGTAGGTTGGCGCTTTCAGTTTTGTGCGAATGCTGCCATCTGTCCACGGTTTCTGGTTAGGGTAGGTTTTAATAGTCACAGTGAGCACAACATCTTCTATACTCTTCCTGATAAACTCAGTCACGGTTTCAGTGTATTCGTCTAAATTAGTTTTGCAAGCTACATGGAACACATCCCAGTCCGCGTGATCAAAACAATCTTGAAGCGTGGATTCCGATTGGTCAGATCTGCATTGAATAGTCCTTAGCATGGGTACTTCCTGTTTGAGTTTTTGCCTATAGGAAGGGAGGAGCAAAATGGAGTCGTGGTCAGATTTGCCGAAAGGAGGGTGGGGGAGGGCTTTATAACCATCCCGGAATAGCAATGGTAGAGAATTTTAGCAGCCCGTGTACAACAGTCGATATGTTGATAGAATTTCGTCAGCCTGGTCCTCAAATTTGCTTTGTTAAAATCCCCGGGTACAATAAATGCAGCCTCAGGATATGTGGTTTCCAGTTTGCATAAAGTCCAGTGAAGTTCTTTGAGGGCCGTCGTGGTATCAGCTTGAGGGGGGATATACCCGGCCGTGATAATAACCAAAGAAAATTATCTTGGGAGATAATACGGCCGGCATTTGATTGTGAGGTATTCTAGGTCGGGTGAACGAAAGGACTTGAGTTTCTGTATGTTACTACAATTACACCATGAGTCGTTAATCATGAAACACACACCTCCGCCCTTCCATTTGCATCGTTCCAGCCATTAATATGAGCCGTCCTCCCCTCAGCAGCCTCCTGTGGTACACATGGATTTTGTATTGTAGATATGTGATAGTAGAGTAGTGGCCTGAGAGAACACACTTAATGTGTTGTGAAATCTGTTGTGAATGTATTGTAATGTTATTAAAATTGTAGAACTGCCTTAATGTTGCTGAACCCCAGGAAGAGTAGCTGCTGCCTTGGCAGGAACTAATGGGGATCCATAATAAACCCCAGGAAGAGTAGCTGCTGCCTTGGCAGGAACTAATGGGGATCCATAATAAACCCCAAGAAGAGTAGCTGCTGCCTTGGCAGGAACTAATGGGGATCCATAATAAACCCCAGGAAGAGTAGCTGCTGCCTTGGCAGGAACTAATGGGGATCCATAATAAACCCCAGGAAGAGTAGCTGCTGCCTTGGCAGGAACTAATGGGGATCCTTATTAAACCCCAGGAAGAGTAGCTGCTGCCTTGGCAGGAACTAATGGGGATCCATAATAAACCCCAGGAAGAGTAGCTTCTGCCTTGACAGAAACTATTGGGGATCCTTATTAAACACTAGGAAGAGTAGCTGCTGCCTTGGCAGGAACTAATGGGGATCCATAATAAAGCCCAGGAAGAGTAGCTGCTGCCTTGGCAGGAACTAATGGGGATCCATAATAAATACAAATACAAATGTGAAACCAAGCGGACCAAATGAAAAAAATTCTATGTAACAAATAATACAACTCTGATTAGCTCAAAACTATGTGTGAAAACACCCTAAGTCAAACGTACCTTTAGTATTTAACTACCCCAACAAAAGACTGGTACAAATGTATGTTAATTGGGGATCCTTATTAAACACTAGGAAGAGTAGCTGCTGCCTTGGCAGGAACTAATGGGGATCCATAATAAAGCCCAGGAAGAGTAGCTGCTGCCTTGGCAGGAACTAATGGGGATACATAATAAATACAAATACAAATGTGAAACCAAGCGGACCAAATGAAAAAAAATCTATGTAACAAATAATACAACTCTGATTAGCTCAAAACTATGTGTGAAAACACCCTAAGTCAAACGTACCTTTAGTATTTAACTACCCCAACAAAAGACTGGTACAAATGTATGTTAATAAGCCCATGCCAAATAATCAACTTGTAAGCCTATATACAGTATACCCTAGCTACAAGGCATTTATTCAAAATACCAACATGTTCAAACAAGCTCCTTAACTCCTGTCTACCACAAAGATGTTGATTCAACCCAAACCTTCCCTGCAGTTTGCTTAGCCCCCATCAACACAACCAGGAAAGGGAAACACTAACCAGGAAAGGGAAACACTAACCAGGAAAGGGAAACACTAACCAGGAAAGGGAAACACTAACCAGGAAAGGGAAACACTAACCAGGAAATGGAAACACTAACCAGGAAAGGGAAACACTAACCAGGAAAGGGAAACACTAACCAGGAAAGGGAAACACTAACCAGGAAAGGGAAACACTAACCAGGAAAGGCAGGGAAACACTAACCAGGAAAGGGAAACACTAACCAGGAAAGGGAAACACTAACCAGGAAAGGGGAAACACTAACCAGGAAAGGGAAACACTAACCAGGAAAGGGAAACACTAACCAGGAAAGGGAAACACTAACCAGGAAAGGGAAACACTAACCAGGAAAGGCAGGGAAACACTAACCAGGAAAGGGAAACACTAACCAGGAAAGGCAGGGAAACACTAACCAGGAAAGGGAAACACTAACCAGGAAAGGGAAACACTAACCAGGAAAGGGAAACACTAACCAGGAAAGGGAAACACTACCCAGGAAAGGGAAACACTAACCAGGAAAGGGAAACACTAACCAGGAAAGGTTAGGTTATATCTCCATGTTCCTATAGATCCTTCAGAACTTTGAAGAGAATGGCCCATCTCAACCGGAGGATAACTCCCTCCCTGCGTCCCAAATGGCACCCTATTTTCTACATTCCCTCTTCCCCCATGTGCCCTGGTTAAAAGTAGTGCACTAAATATGGCATAGGGTGCCATGTGGGACCAGCTCCTCACTCAGCTCAAGGCCCAGAAGGGATTTATTTCTGCTGCGTTCTACCACTCTTTTCTATGCTTTTCTTTCAAATGAGAAACAATTGATATTCATGTGGTTTATTTTAGGAGATGTGGATCCTCGTTAAGATAACGATAAAGTGTAATTAAAAACAGTTTGTTTTGTTTTGGTTGTAATGATCAGTGTGCGGAGTGCTGACTAGCCACTTTAGTCGCGACGTGGGGGAGGCTGACTAAACTCTGGTGGGTTACAGAAAATAAAAGAGAAATGAACAAAACCTTCACCTCTAGATCACTTCATATAAAAACTATATGTGGTACACACTGGGCCCTAAGCCAGGGAAGGGCAACTTTGATGGGGGTGAGGGCCACAAAAAAACGAAACTCATCATGAGGGTCCGCAGTGGCTCGTGGGTCTGCATACCCACATCCACACCCCCACCCCCCACCTCGTGAGCATTTTAGCAACTCCCCTCATCATAGCGAGGAGGAGAAAAAAAAGTATGTTTTAAAGTGAATTTCCTGCAATTCTACACATTTTGCCATAGGGGTGGAGGCAAATGTTTGCAGTTTTTAATATGACAACTGATGATCAATGGGCTCCACCCTGGTTGGAAATTCAACCATGCTTACTACAAGTTTAGATAGCTGGCCGCTAGACTAATTTACCAATCTGAAACATTTTAGCTGACATGGACTAATTGAGTGACTGCTGATGCACAACATTTCTAAATGGCACCTTGTGTATTCTATTATTCTAACTCTCAACAGTACGTTTTTTTATCGGTCCGCGCGCCTACAAAAAGGAGGGCCGCGGGCCGCGTGGCCGGCAGTTGCCCATCTCTGCCCTAAACCTTATGAAACACAATCTGTAATAGTCATTTTCCTTGCAGTCACACACTGCTGCACCTACATTTGTTGGTTAACAAGTCTTTGACAAATAACTTCCAGTGAGATATTATATAATTGTGTGTAACCTCTACCAAAAACAAAGATGAGGAAGATGGCTTTAAGAGCGGTTTTTAAGAAACAGTAACTACAGAATTCAAATAACTCAATATGGCCGCCGGTCAACTCACCACGGAACGTTGACCTAAACCAATGGGAATGTAGATATTATAACTCTATGGTCTAATGCTCACCATAACAGGTTCCAGTCATTCTAATTTGATGGGCAGGTTTCCTGACACACATTAAGCCTAGTAATGGTGTAAAAAGTTATTTCGATGGAGATTCTCAATTGACCATGCTTTTTTGTTCAAGACGAGGCTTAATCTGTGTCTGGGGAAACAGTCCCAATGGGTTCGATGCTCACCATAACAGGTTCTTTGTTGTGTGTAGTAGCCTGGTCCACAGTCCGGGACACAGAGTCCATCTCTGGGAAGGTGAGACGGGTCAGAACACGACACACACTCCTGCTGGCTCGGCCCTGAGCACACTGAACAGGATGCATGGCAACCTGAGGGAGAGATAGAGAGATAAATTAGAGAGAGAGAGAGAGGGGGGGGGAGAGAAAGAGAGAGGGGGGTAGAGAAAGAGAGAGAGGGGGGGAGAACGAGAGAGAGGGGGAGGGGGGAGAGAGAGAGAGAGAGAGAGAGAGAGAGAGAGAGAGAGAGAGAGAGAGAGAGAGAGAGAGAGAGAGAGAGAGAGAGAGAGAGAGAGAGAGAAGAAACATATAAATATGGAAGAGATGATACCCTGATGTCAAATTCCAAATCCACACGTGGATATACTGCAGGATATTCTGCACATTCAGCATCTAAAGGGTTATTCCACACCTGCCCCTAGCTCAGTGGATATACTGTAGTAAATACTGCACATTCAGCATCTAGATCATGTGTCCAACCCATTCCCCGGAGGGCCGACTGTCTGCTGGGTTTCGCTCCTCCCTTGGACATGATTGATGAATTCAAGTCACTAATTAGTAAGGAAATCCCCCCCAGCTGGTTGTCTAGGTCAAAAACCCGCAGACACTCGGCCCTCTGTGGAATGAGGTTGACACCCCTGATCTAAAGGGTTAATTAATTATAATCCACATAATAATTCACATTTTCTGTTGCTGCAGGATTATTGTTCTGCTGTAGCAAACTGGCTCAAAGTAAGATCCTACATCTGTAGGCAAAACCTCTGTCTGGATAGTGAACCAGACCAGGAGGAGAAACACAACCTCTGTCTGGATGGTGAACCAGACCAGGAGGAGAAACACAACCTCTGTCTGGATGGTGAACCAGACCAGGAGGAGAAACAGAACCTCTGTCTGAATAGTGAACCAGATCAAGAGGAGAAACAGAAGCAGAGGTCACTTACTGGCTGTCATACTGATGAAGGAGAAGGAGTGTGTGTGTGTGTGTGTGTGTGTGTGTGTGTGTGTGTGTGTGTGTGTGTGTGTGTGTGTGTGTGTGTGTGTGTGTGTGTGTGTGTGTGTGTGTGTGTGTGTGTGTGTGTGTGTGCGTGCGTGCGTGCGTGCGTGCTTATAAAACTATGTGCATAAGGGCTATTTTACCAAGAAGGAGAGTGATGGAGTGCTGCATCAGATGACCTGGCCTCCACAATCACCCAACCTCAACCCAATTGAGATGAGTCGGACCGCAGAGTGAATGAAAAGCAGCCGACAAGTGCTCAGCATATGTGGGAACTCCTTCAAGACTATTGGAAAAGCATTCCAGGTGAAACTGGTTGAGAGAATGCCAAGAGTGTGCAAAGCTGTCATCAAGGCAAATGGTGGCTATTTGAAGAATCAAATATAAAATATATTTTGATTTGTTTAACACTTTTTGGTTCCTACATGATTTCATATGTGTTATTTCATAGTTTTGATGTCTTCACTTTTATTCTACAATGTAGAAAATAGTAAAAATAAAGAAAAACCCTTGAATGAGTAGGTGTTCTAAAACTTTTGACCGGTAGTGTATGAGTGATTATGAATTGTTGTATTCAAAGTCACGTCAATGCAGGGAAACTTAAATCTGTTCTAACTAATTTCTACCAGCATGTTAAATGTGCAACCACAGGAAGAAAAAAAAACTCTAGACCACCTTTACTCCACACACAGAGACACGTTCAAAGCTCTCCCTCACCCTCCATTTGGCAAATCTGACCAAAATTATATCCTCCTGATTCCTGCTTATAAGCAAAAACTAAAGCAGGAAGCACCAGTGACTCGGTCAATAAGGAATTGGTCAGATGATGGAGATGCTAAGCTACAGGACTGTTTTGCTAGCACAGACTGGAATATGTTCCGGGATTCTTCCGATGGCATTGAGAAGTACACCACACCAGTCACTGGCTTCATCAATAAGTGCATCGATGACGTCATCCCTACAGTGACCGTACGTACATACCCCAACCAGAAGCCATGGATTACAGGCAACATCTGCACTGAGCTAAAGGGTAGAGCTGCCGCCTTCAAGGAGCGGGACTCTAACCCGGACGCTTATAAGAAATCCCGCTATGCCCTCCAACGAACCATCAAACAGGCAAAGAGTCATTACAGGACTAAGATTGAATCGTACTACACGGGCTCCGACACTCGTCAGATGTGGCAGGGCTTGCAGACTATTACAGACTACAAAGGGAAGCACAGCTGCGAGCTGCCTAGTGACACAAGCCTGCCAGACAAGCTAACTCACTTCTATGCTCGCTTCGAGGCAAGCAACACTGAAGCATGCATGAGAGCATCAGCTGTTCCGGATGACTATGTGTAAGACTTTTAAGCAGGTCAACATTCACAAGGCCACAGGGCCAGACGGATTACCAGGACGTGTACTCTGAGCATGCGCTGACCAACTGGCAAGTGTCTTCACTGACATTTTCAACCTCTCCCTGACCGAGTCTGTAAGACCAACATATTTCAAGCAGACCACCATAGTCCCTGTGCCCAAGAACACTAAGATAACCTGCCTAAATGACTACCAACCCGTAGCACTCACGTCTGTAGCCATAAATTGCTTTGAAAGGCTGGTCATGGCTCACATCAACACCATTATCCCAGAAACCCTAGACCCACTCCAATTTGCATATCGCCCCAACATATCCACAGATGATGCAATCTCTATTGCACTCCGGACGCTTATAAGAAATCCCGCTATGCCCTCCGACGAACCATCAAACAGACAAAGAGTCAATACAGGACTAGAATTGAATCATACTACACGGGCTCCGACACTCGTCAGATGTGGCAGGGCTTGCAAACTATTACAGACTACAAAGGGAAGCACAGCTGCGAGCTGCCTAGTGACACAAGCCTACCACACTGCCCTTTCCCACCTGGACAAGAGGAACACCTACGTGAGAATGCTGTTAATTGACTACAGCTCAGTGTTCAACACCATAATGCCCTCAAAGCTCATCACTAAGCTAAGGACCCTGGGACTAAAAACCTTCCTCTGCAACTGGATCCTGGACTTCCTGACGGGCCGCCCCCAGGTGATAAGGGTAGGTAACAACACATCTGCCACACTGATCCTCAACACGGGGGCCCCTCAAGGGTGCGTGCTCTGTCCCCTCCTGTACTCATGTTCACCCATGACTGCATGGCCAGGCACGACTCCAACACCATCATTAAGTTTGCAGACGACACAACAGTGGGAGGCCTGATCACCGACAACAATGAGACAGCCTATAGGGAGGAGGTCAGAGACCTGGCAATGTGGTGCCAGGATAACAACCTCTCCCTCAAATTGATCAAGACAATGGAGATGATTGTGGACTACAGGAACAAAAGAGGACTGAGCACGCCCCCATTCTCAACGACGGGGCAGTAGTGGAACAGATTGAGAGCTTCAAATTCCTTGGTGTCCACATCACCAACGAACTATCATGGTCCAAACACACCAAGACAGTCATGAAGACGGCACAACAAAGCCTACTCCCCTTCAGGAGACTGAAAAGATTTGGCATGGGTCCTCAGATCCTCAAAAAGTTCTACAGCTGCACCATCGAGAGCATCCTGACTGGTTGCATCACCGCCTGGTATGGCAACTGCTCGGCCTCCGACCGCAAGGCTCTACAGAGTGTAGTGCGTACGGCCCAGTACATCACATGGGGCCAAGCTACCTGCCATCCAGGACCTCTACACCAAGAGGAAGGCCCTAAAAATGGTCAAAGACTCCAGCCACCTTAGTCATAGACTGTTCTCTCTGCTACCGCACGGCAAGCGGTACCGGAGCGCCAAGTCTAGGTCCCAAAAGGCTTCTTAACAGCTTCTACCCCCAAGCCATTAGACTCCTGAACAGCTAATCATGGCTACCCGGACTATTTGCATTGTCCCTCCCAATATTCCATACACACACACTCCTAACTGATTGGCACAGCAAGGGGCACACACACACACACACACACACACACACACACACACACACACACAGTCATCAGATGTGATGTGGCTGGGGGGTCCAGGGCCCATATCCACAAAGCATCTCAGACTAGGTCCTAGGAATCCTGTTAAAACCTTTTTTTTAAAGAATAAATAACTCCCAGCTCAGATATGTTAAGACACTGCCCAGACAAACTCTGAGCCAGGAGTAAAATCCACTCATAAAAGTTTATCTCAGCTGGTAATCATGACAGTTTGAGGTACCGTAAAGGAAATATATTGATGACGCTCATTGACATTGTTGCAAGTATGTGGAATCACAATGAGGCATCTCCAGCTGTGAACTCTACAGCAGGCTTCAGACAACCACGGTGAATGTGACTGTACATGTCATGTTGCAATGGTAAAACATCTTAACCAAGGGCCTCCCGAGTGGCGCAGTGGTCTAAGGCACTGCATCGCAGTGCTAGCTGTGCCACTAGTGTCCAGGCTCTGTCGCAGCCGGCCGCGACCGGGAGACCAATGGGGCGGTGCATAATTGGCCCAGCGCCGTCCAGGGTAGGGGAGGATTTGGCCGGCAGGGATGTTATTGTCCAATCGTGCACTAGTGACTCCTGTGGTGGGCTGGGTGCAGTGCACGCTGACTCGGGTGTACGGTGTTTCCTCCAGCACGTTCGTGCGGCTGGCTTCCGGGTTAAGCGGGCACCCGTGTCAAAAAGTGTGGCTCGGTTGTGTTTCAGAGGACGCATGACTCTCGACCTTCGCCTCTCCTGTGTCTGTATTGGAGTTGCAAATGTGATGTTGTGCTCCAAAGGGATACATTGAAATAACATGGTGTAGGTAATTACATAATCTAAAGAAAAATGTGTTTATTTATTAGCCTGGTGCTTACATGTATTTAGGCATGCCATGTGAAATAGGCTTTTGTGAAATAATTTTCAAAAGTGCTAGAGAGAAGGCCTACTGTTCTATGTAGGTCTAGATTATTTATGGAATTGATCATTTCAAAACAGAAATATCAAAACATTATTTTTACAACTCCAAAGCAATTGCATGTGGAGCAGAAAACCACTGACTGCATTGTTCTATTATCAAGACACCTGCTGGTAACTCTTAACTGGTTACGACAGCTCATGAGGTCTCTT